TCTTAATAATTATAAAGATATCCCAATATAAATAATAAATTTACAAAAAAACAATATCAGGTAAGTAGGGGGTCTACCCAAAACCGAAAAACATGGCAAGGGGTCTACGACACAAAAAAGTTTGGGAACCTCTGATTTAGAATGTCATGAAATTTTGACGCGTATCGTTTGAAGGGTGGTAAATCATATGGGTCTGTCAACTGTGTTGCTATATATGTGTCATACTGGAGACTTATTATATGTTGTGTTACATAACAAGAACTAAAGTTTGAAATAAATTGCCAAAAATGGACAATGTTAAGTTTAAATACATAAAAATAGATAAAAGGATAGATAAATGTAAATAAAAATTTTGGTACTGTAAAGAAGGTTCGATTTCCTCCGAGACGGACTCCACAGCTTTTCTGTATTGGCAACCAATATCAACTGCAAGTCTACTATGTAGACCCACCCCGTCATGATCCACTCAATATTGAGTACATTCCTTCAATATATGAGTGTCTGATAATGTCTAGTCTGTCAAACATTAGAATCGTCCCCGTCAGAATATAGGAATGCGTAAGCTTTAGGTGGCGACATGTTCTAGATTTTCGAATGTCTCGTGAGTAATGACAGGCATCATAAGATAACTTGAGCTCGGAAGTTTAAATGACATTTTGAGGAATTTGATCTGATTGACACATTCATTGGGTGATCCACTCAGAGTAAGTGAGGACGTCTATGCTTACAGAAATACACACATGATGTCTTAGTTGAGGAGAAACAACAACCTTTTGACTCTACCTTCGTGTTGATCGCGTTGATTGCTGCCTGCAGCCTTCTTTCAATAGCTGGAATGATCTCTCCAGACATGTAAATTGCCAAATTGGAGCGGTAGTCTTACCCTAATTCCCCAATCGTGTATAAACAAGTCTTATCTGACGCCTTTTCCAGATCAAATAATACAGCGATAGTATGCTTTCTTGACGAAAATACACCCTGAATAAGACCAGATGTTCAGTCGTTGCATGCTGTTTCCTGAAGCCAGCTTGATAATCGACCAATACATTTCATGACTTCAATAACCACATATTACGTTTGAAGATCATCTTCTCAAATAGTTTGTTCATGCAATAAACTATGTTAACGTTGATCTAGAATAGGATCAGCTACCTTATTGTAGTTAAGAGCTATTTTTTTTTACATTATATTTGATAAACACATAGAGAACCGCACGTAATGATGAGTAACCAATAGTCCGCAAGCTAATTGATAGAAACAATAGAATATTAAATAATAATAAAAAGAGCCGTCATCAGGACGATGATATAAATCGAGGATTTTCAAACTGTTTAGTTACCTGGCGAAGCCACTTTGAATGATTTCTATATTTCATGCAGTTTCTTAAATAATAAAGTAAAAAAATTCTAAGTCATCATATCTGGTCCAATCTTTCTAATTAATCTTTGCAAATATTGAAATAAGTATATTTAGAAACGCAGAAAATACTAGATAAATTGTGTTTTATTCAAGAGAAATTGAATAAAAAACAAATGTAGATTAATTTTATTTACAATAATCTTTATTTTTATTAGTATCAGTTCTTTATATTAACTAATATAGAAAGATAAAAATATAATTATTTTTATATAATAATTTAGAATTAGATTTCATATTATTTTAATGAATTGTCTATTTATGAATTATCAAATAAATATTAATATTTATTCTCGATGATAGAAAGGGTTAATATTTTTTATTTATTTAAATATATTTATTGGCCATAATCAATAGTCAATCGACCAAAGACTTTCCGTCAAAGGATTAATACTTTAGTTGATTTTATTAAAAAATTAACAATTTGATAAAATAAATATTTATACTTTTATGTCCTCCAATACGATGATACTTAACCTTAAAAACATTGTATCCTCAACCATATTGTGGTTTAAAGATAAACCCATCCAAAACAAAATTCTTGCATATTCCACTTGACTTCCCATGTTACGTTAGGAAATCATAACATATTTACATCGCTTCATGTAAAAGATCTAAGAATACTTCTTGATCCAAAACTCAACCTCAGTTACCATTTCAAACAACTAAAGTCCAAAATGAAATCCAGATTCCGTCATATATATCATAGTTCCAAAATATTTATCCAATGTTAAAAAATCATCTATAAATCCATTTGCCATCCAATCCTTGACTATTGTTTTCCTCTTCTTTCCCAATGCCGAAATCTCGCCCTAAATAAACTGTCCGTTTCCGAATGTTCTGCCTTTCGCATCCAAAAAAAGATTTAATTTATTCAAAAAACTATTTTTTTTCAACTCCTAGATTCCTATCATTTTCCCATAAATTAATTTCCAAAGATTCCAATATTTATTTCCTTTTTAAATTTTGCATCCCTATTCCAATCTCTATTGTCCTTGTTCTTTCTACTATATAGGTTTTTTGTATTAAATTTAGTTAGTTTTGTCACTTTTTATTGTTATGTACATATTTATTCACTTTTATTATATTTAAAATTCACGGGTGATGAATTTTCTTATTATATTTAGTGTGCTATTGTTGTTTTTATTTTTAGATGTAATTTTATTTTTTTAATTTATTAATTACTTATTTGTTATATTTAGGGTTTTTTTGTTAGTAATTTATATTTTGTTAATTCTGCTATAGTTGTTTTTCATGTTTTTTTTTTGTATTATTATTTCTTATTCTGAATTTTATTATTATTTTAAATATTAACAATAAATAGAGATAAATTTTAATGAAAGTACGTTCATTAAAATACGTTTAAACAAACAAAAAGAAAAAACGTTCGCATTTTGCAGAATATTATGATATTTTAACACCGCGTCGATTGATTGTTTCACCGCATTAATCAGAATCACTTTAATTGGCTAAAAATATATTTGATAAAAAACGAAATACAACCGCAACGTTTATAAAGTAATTTTTATTTTTGAAATAAAAATATTGCACACGCGAAATGATTTGCAGATATTTTTTTATATCGTATAATTTTATTCACAATCTGTTCATTAATGTGAACATTGAGTAAATTTAAGATCGCGGTTGACATTAAATGGATAATCTTTCCCGGTGGATAGTTACCATTATGATGATTTGATTTTAATTTTGTTGGTTGGCAGTTGTCTTGTAGGTTAACTTTCACTGGATAAAGGCGCATTTCGAGAATGAAGGTAACGAGAGGGCAGACCAACTGGCTAGATCTGCATCTGGCGCTGATGAATCCGACACGCAAGCGACTAGTCTTCCTACCACTAACTACGCCAAGTACTCCATGGGAACCCCCAAGTCGCTAATATCTCGGGACTCTGCCGAAGCTTGAAAGCTTGAAGAAAGTGAAGTAGCTCTGTCTGAACCAGAGAATTTATCCCGTCAATCGCGGAATGGCAGAAGAAGAGGGTCGAGCTACCTCACCAGGCGGTACAACTCATCACGAGGCATGGCAAATTCGGACACTACCGAAAGCGATTTAGACAAACAGAGACATCGGATTGTGCCTGTGGCAAAGAAAAAGACACAGTCCAGCATTGCTGGTTCCGCTGCCCTTTGGACACCATCTGGAGAAGCAGCGCAGAGAGGCGAATGACTCTACAAGGCTTAGCAGCCACAGAGAGATGAAGATATCATCGAAATTGCAGAGGAAGGCGCCGAATGGTGGTGTGCGTTTGGTTGGGAAGAAAAACGCATTGAGAAACTAGATCACGACGTGGAATACAGGCGCAAATGAACCGCCTGTGTTCATTTGCGAATTTTTGAAATTTTTTTTACTCTACTTTATCAATGTATCAATTATTATTCTTTTTATTCCATATATTTTTTTTTTTTTTATTATGTTCTGTTATTTTTTTATATATTTTTTTTTATACTTTTATATTTTATATTTTAATTATTTTATGTATGTGCTATGCTTATGCGGCTCAATAAATAAGTTGTTAGTCGCCCTATTTGCAGATATGAAAAAATGCATTTTATTCTTTTCAGATCTATACTTTAAGTGGAACATGTCAATTAAACTAAAAAATATTATCAATACCTTAACAATTGATTTATTTTAACGTTTATTTATTATTTGCAATTTGCCACATTCTGTTAATAATCAAATATTTTTTAGCCATGACAAAAAATAAGTAATGCATTGCAGGCGGCTAATAAAGTTAAAAATCTGGGTATGTATCTAGATAGAAGAATGACCTAAAAAGATCACATCCAAGCAAATAGAGAAGAAATGAAAATTAAGTTCAGGAAAGTTTACTGGCTCTTACGGGAAGACTCGCCAATTTCGTCGAACCGGAACAGAACAGGAACCGAACCGAAACCAAACAGGAACCGAACCGAAAACCAAAATTAACCGGAATGTTTAACAGAACCATAACTGTAATCTATTATAAAATAGATTGTAAATAAAAAGGACGTTAAATAAATTAAAAAAAGTAATGTACTGCTATTGGATAATTCAAATCTTATTTTATTAACATTGATTTAAAATTAATTTTAATTTGTTGTAAATATTCTAAGTAAGATTTAAAATGTGAATGCAGTTGATATTGCTGTTGAAAATGATGTGTTTGTTGTTTGCAGACCTTGAGATAAGTGTGCTCGTCCGTTGATTGACTGCAATGGAAATAATGGGATTGGCATGATGCGCGTTGGAAGATGGAGGTTCTAGTTGGGCATGGCAATGAGCAGCAGCAGCGGCAGTTAAAGGGCGAGGAATTAGCGATTTTGATCCCAATTAAAGAGCAGCCGGATGGAACGAACAAACGGACAGCTGGTCTACGTGGTCTTGACCGATGATGATGGTTGAAGCACCAGAGGAGCAACGTTTTCCCGCCAGAACCATTGCACATGCAGCGCACGATTGATGTGACTCACCGAACCTATTACACCATATTAAGGGTGTAATTAAATACTTCATCATAATATATTAATTGCATGGGTCTCTTCTGAGGCGCGGACGAAGGGTTGGGGGATGCGGTAGGGTGCAGGGCCGGACGGGAACGCTCGAGACCTTCCGGCATGGGACGACGAAGAGGTGGGAGTTGGTGAGCGGCGCGACGCGACGTCTGTTAGTCCCGCATGAACCGTCGCGGCGCCCGAAACACGCATCATCCAAAAAAAAAACCGTATCAAAAACAAAAGCGCGCGCGCAAAATATACGCAATTCTTTGAAAATTTTCACAACAACAAAAAAAAATCCAGTGTTTTCATAGTGCCTTTCTGATCGAGTGTATTAATTAATTTTTTGGTGCAGTTCGGTGCTAATGAGATTATTAACTTTCGCAATGGATTGGAGGATTCTAATTTGCATCTTGAACGTTCTTCTTCAAGGTAAAAATAATTAAATACGAGAAAATTACAACTAAAATAAAATACATTCATAAATAAATAAAGGCGCAATATGGACTATTAGTAAATGTAGATTAATTACGTCGAACAAAAAAAAATAACCTCACCTCGGAAAGACTCATTACTTATGCCCAACGCTAATGACAATCGTCATAATACGTACGAGGGAAAAACAATTTTGTGCGAGACTAATGTCATGCAACCCACTTTATATATATTTTCTTTATTTCAAAAACAAGTAACACCTTTTCGCTGTTTCAAATGTTTCTACGCTAATCAAAAAATCTATACAAGAAAACAAGTAATTATTTCCGAATGTTAATTAATATTTAACAGTACGTTAATTAGTCATTTAAAGTGAGCTGGAAACTTCCATTCAGTTTATCTGAATCTTTACTAATCAAATATAAACATATTTTACAGATAAACGTCAATTGACTTAATCTGAATATTTAGAAAATAAATATAAAAATATGTCATCATATATCATCAATCGTGTAAATTTTATTGGAATCAAATATGAAGCATATTGATTAAAAAAAAAAAAAAAATGTTGACACTTATAGACGAGGCGATTCAAAAAATATTTTCAAACATTAATTAACATTTAACAATACTTTATTCGTCATTTAAAGTAATCTGTAAAAAATACCAAATATGAAGCATAATATGTATCTAAAACATCAATGAGCCAATTACAAACGTTAATTAACATTTATAGTGAACTATAAAACTCCATTCAATTTGTCTGAATATTGAAAATACAAGTATAGAATTATTTAACAGTACGTTAATTTGTTCTTTAAAGTGATCTGTAAACTTTCATTAAATTGATCTGAATATTTAAGAATAAAAAAAAAATATTTAACAGTACCCTAAATAATCATTTAAGATTATCTGAATCATTAGAAAAAATAATAATTTAAAAATGTACCTAAAAATAAAACAAAAAAAAAACATTTCCGAACGTTAACTAAAATCTAAATTCTTTGTTTAAAGTAATGAATAATAGTTATTTATTATATTTAGTTAATTAATATTAATATAAATGTATGATTTAATAATTAGCGAATATATTAAATAATTGTTTATAAGTTTAAATTAATTACATTTAAATAAATAATATTCAAGTAAATATTTAAATTCAATTAGTTCAGAATAAAAATAAATGATGATCTTAGGATATCAAGAATTAACATTTGAAATTAATTCAAGTTGTTAGGGTACAAACAAAGATTAGATAATCAAGTTACATTTCTTTATAAAGAATATGTAAATACATTTATGATCATATCATAAAACCTAATCTGTTTGAGTGATGAAATAAACAAATAAATGTTTGTTTTTCCTCTTTTGTTTTGTAAAATGTAACTAACTATAATTGAGAATTAATGTTTCATAAAAATATTATACATATATTTAATAAATTTACCTTATAAAATCATGGAATTATAAGATGAATTAATCGGTTGTTAATAATAATTTTGTATATTCTGAAATGAAATTACGAAAGTAACGCTTTAATTATTTTTGAGCGCGAAGAGTGAATGAGAGAGAGAGAGAAAAAGAGAGTATCGCTTACCGATATTAAGCTTATTCCCAAGACGTGCATATTTTTTCCCTCTATCTCTACTTCTGGTTTGTCACATCCTCTAATACCCTTGGATATAATTATCCTTCTTTTCGTCCTCCAACGTAAATTTATGCCTCCCATCGAATAACTTAATTGACTTTGCTCATCAACAGAATTACAAACACGTGAAGCAATTGAACGAATGAAAAAAAAATGTATAGAAAGGTTCGTTTACATTGAAATGAATATCGCAAAACTATAACGTTATTTTTTTTTAAATGAAAGTAATTTAGAAATATTTTTTTTTAGAAATATTAATTACCAATAATCAAAATAAAAAAGTTTGGATTATTCCTTCCAATTTTTTATTTGTTGGTAATTTCTTATTTCAAAATTATAATATATTTAATGATTTATTTTTCATTGTGTTCTTTCTATGATTTATAGATTAAACCGAAATAAAATTGGGTAAAAGTTAAAATTTGGGATAATTAAAAGTAAAACAAGGACAGCAAGACCTATGGTCAATAGCTGTTACTTTTTTGTTTTATTTTTATAATATACTATAATGAAAATATTTAATTTTCCTTTTTTATTGTTGAAAAAAGTCGTCGGTAAGACTGAGTATTTATAAAAAATTAGTTACTAATAAAAATACAATGGAAAAGTGAAAACAAAAACCTATTAAAAATGTGTAAAATACTAATTCGTCGTTTTTTTTTCAATCAAAATTAATATAGAAAATGTTCAAAAATGACAATTGAAAATGTGAAAAGACTATATATAAATAAAAAAAATACTAATCTAATTAAAATCCTCCACGTTGAAACTAAATTCCATTATTTAATTGTTACATTGATGGTGCATATACACAGTTTTATTTTTAATGATGTACGCTTATTTTTTGTGCGAACCAATTTGAATAATCTACTCCGCGGCAAATAATTGCAATAAACGAACGTTTTCAATCAATTTCGACTAATTAAACAGTATTATCAGGTTGCAGGTAAAACGAAAATATTTTAATGACAGGCTAACCGAATATGATTGTTTGAGCGCAACAGTGGTTGTGAAAGGTGACAACAATATACACCAGTGCTCCTCAACCTTTTTTCACGTACGGTTAAAATGTATAGATATTAATTTGATACACAAATTTTACAATAAATGTTCATTTTTTTTATTTGATAAGTATGCATACATGCACGTATACTATATTTACCTTTTTGCAATCTTATTAATTTTATTTTTGGTCCGATATTTGACAGCATAACACGTAGTTCTTGGTCAAGACCTTTTATGCATGACCGCTTAATTTTTAATTGTACACCATGAAGTTGACGAGGAAAGCTAAGCTCGTAAGAGTTAAGCAAGGAGAAGGTTTAAGTACCGTTAAGTAAAGAAAGTCTAGTTGAACTACTGTAGTGTAATGAGTGTGTAATAAGTAGTAAATAAACCGCCATCTTAAAGACACTAACAATTCCTTTTATTCAACCTCGCATCTTGGTCCTCGTCTAAACAATGATAATTGTAACAAGATCCTGCTGATTTACGCAATAATACAACTCAAATAAAATAGTTTTATATAAATTACTCTATATGGACATGAAAATTAAAAACAATAGTTTTTTTTGTCTTTTGTTTAGTGAGCACAATTAACATTTCTCGTTCTCCATAGAGTTATTAACTTTTGAGTTGAATTTGTAATTAATGAAGATATTCAAGTACATTTTTCGTCGTGGTTAAACGTTGACGTTTTCGTGATAGAAGATAACATAATTTAATTAACTTTAATCAATTGTTAAAATATGTCTTTAAAATCTTAAAACACTTTAACGTCATTGGGATAAGTTTGCAGCATAAATCAATGGGAATTGTGGAAATATGATGTCGCCGGTTATGTTTTGCATAATGATTATGAAGCGCATCACTATTGAGTTGAGTCGATATGTTCATTGTGCGGCTGTCAGTTGACTATATTAATGCGTCATTAGTATGAAGACTGCCCCGTGGGTTCCATGGATTTACTGCCATCATCGAATACATATTATTCAATGACTTAGTTCGCAATAATATAATTAGGCTCGATTAAATATGCAACAAGCGTTATGCATTAATTACACAAATGGAGTGTTCGAATCTAAACAGCAGTCATTTTCACTTCAATACAATCTAAAACAATTCGTTGAAATCCTCCATTAAATAAATTATCAGCAGTTTTCGAATTTATCATGAAAATTCGTTCATTTAATCAACTATTAAAAACATTTTTTTCTAATTATTTCAATTGTACTATATTATAATTATTTTAATGAACATTGCGAAAATTTCACATGTTAAATAAAATGTTGCCCTTTTGTATACATCTAAAATAAAAAGTTGAACGCAAACATAATTATTTAACTATTCTTCGTTCGCTCTTTTTTTTTTTGTTTTTTTGTAATACGGCGTCGACCGAATACATAAAAAATACATTTTACATTTTAATGTGCAGTAAAAACCTGTATGCATTATTAATATGTACACGGGCAAAGCTGAAGAGCGAAAATATTCATTAAATTCCACACAAAGTAGACGAACAACATATTACTTTTTTTCTAATCACACTTTTTCATTAATAATATCATTAATATCTTATGCATTCAACCGAAATAAAATAGATAGTTTAAATAGAAAGGATATGTATTTTGAAGCTACTATTTTTATTTTTTTGAGTGGAGGTGTTTTGTCCTCAATTCAAAATTTAAATATTTTTAATGGTCGATGTTTGATATAAAACATTGTTATTTTTATGATACGCTTATATATTAGACGTAATGTTTGAATTACAAAATTATTTAAAGATTAAAGCAAAATAAGAATTATTTTTTTATTTAAATGCTAAAGATTTTTTTACTGAAAATGGGAAGTGGACACTACACTTCTGAAATTAATAATTTATATAATATGTTTAAGTATAAAATAATAAATTAGACAGGCCATTTTAAAATTTTACCATCATAAAATATTTAATTCTTCAAGTATCCCATATGTACCATATTTTAATATGTAATGTCCTTATAATTAGATCCTTACTTCTTTCCAATAGCTGCGGTTTTAATTGGTTTTCAAATCATGCTTCGTTCTCACGTTTTAACGTCAAAATTTCCCCAAGTAGAAAAATCTTTTAGAATAATAATCTATATTTAGTTATTTTATTTTATTAATTGTTTTTTTTTTATATTACGGATGTACCTTTGTTTTTTTTTTCTGGCCATTAAATTTTAATTATTATTATAGAATTATTTAATTAATAATGTAATTTCCATTACTTATTTTTAGTAAAAAAATGTAATATAGATGAATTAAGAAATTGTTTAGGAGGTGTTGTGTCCTTGCTTGATAACTGCGATTCAAGATTTTTTTTTGGTTGTGCATTGTGTTCGTTTCTAAAGTATACTGGATTTAGAGTGGCCGCATTTCGGAGTATTATAATGGTAATATAAAATTGAGAACAGGAACGAACGTTGGATGGAAATACCATCAATCAGCGAGCGCGTTTTAATAAATCGTCGTGTTTTAAAGGAAGCACTCGATGATTGATTCCTCGCCCTCTTTTGGAGAGCCAATAAAATTACGTCTGAACCAGATTCGTCTGTCGGAATGACGATCACGGCATATTTATCATCCTTATTACAAATGAATATAATAAAAAATAAACTAAATAATAGCAAACGCAATAAATCAAAGTGGGAAAAAATGCAATTAGCGAATCAAACAGAAGGTGGTAAAAGAGGAAATAATGTGTCTTGGTAATAAGCGGGGAGGGAGCGAAAAGGGAATGAACGAGGCAGACGTTAATTAATAATTCAGAGAGTGATTCATTAATCCCGGCCGCTTTGTATCGGTGATCGATAATAAACAGGAGGTGATTGAGGTGCATAACTTTGTAATTGAATTAATTCCCTCGACGGAAGCGGGAACTTTGACCCGATCCGTTCCGCTTATTCGATCCGATCCCGAAACACATCCATCCTATATAGATAAATAAATTTCATCTGGATCCGTCAACGATATTGGATTAGATCGAAAGGTAAATAAAGTTAATCGCTCAGGATTTAGTTTGAATGAGATGAACCAATACCCAATACAAATTAAATAACATTTGTTAGCAGCAAACGTCAATTAATTCGGTGAGTTTAGTAGTTAGGTCCTGGCGTTTAGCAAAGTAAACCTTAATGCAGTCTGTGCACCGACATTTTCCTAATTTTTATTTTCTATATTGGCACACGTTCGAAGCGTTCGAGTTTTACATTCGATACTCTAATCCCAATTAAATGCGAGACGGGAATAACGAATGTGCGCGAGTTTAATTGGAGGTTTTTAGTGCAAATTTTAGTGGTGCAACCAGTGAACGGAGTCATATCGAATGTAATTCCGCAAAAGCGCATCACCAGTTTGTAATTGAAGGTTGTTTTCGCAGAAAACAGAATTGTCCTAATAAAACCAATAATGAGTCTGCAAATAATAAATGTCCTATCTTTCAACATCAATTAACCTTTAATTCCTCATTATATATAAACCGTCGAGATTTGTTTCAGTTATAGTCGTCATATTTAACAAAAGAGAGGAAGTGTTGTGTCTTGTTTGTAAACTATATAATATATAAATATCAGTCTCAATAGATTTAAAACACTAATATAATAGTTTACAATCTATAATAGCGAAAACATGGTATTGAATAATTATTATAAAAATTGGCACAATAGTAATTAATATTGGGCAGAAAGACCTATTGTCAATAGCCCTTTATTGTTTTTTTTTATTTTCTTCTTTATTATGTTTTTTTTAGTATGTAGTATGATTTGTTACAATAAATATTATTATTATTAATAATTAATAGGTCTTAGTATATTATATATTAAATCTGGAATAGATATTATAATTTATTTATTATATAAATATGAGTGAATAAATTGATATAGTCAATTTGTATTATTATATGCTTGACACTATATATAACGATTACCGGAATAGAAAAGGGCTTTTTACCGGTGTTGGGTATTTAGAGGAGATAAAGATAAGCAAATCAAATAACTTCTGTCCACCGGTATTCGGTGTGGGATGAGCAGCTGGTTTATTTATTATGTTTATCTCTTTCTGACCAACGCTGTTTGGTTACTTGGTGCTGGTAATGCGTCAAAATGTATGTTTCCGAACAGCTGTCCGATCCCTAATTGTTCACCTGGTCGTGCACGTACGACCCTGTTTTCATTAACCCTCGCCGCCCACGGAACTTCTTCCAATACCTTCTATTTACATTAAGTTTATGCTTAAAACTACTTGCGCATTGAATTCCCAGACGATAATGGTCCCAGAATAATAATTTGGTTTCCTCTCTTTTCCTCCCTTCATCTCTGCACTCGCTTCATCCTCTTTTCTACCCCAACTTCATCCCTCATCTGTCCTCTGGTTTCTCGGCGGGAAAGTTTAAATAAAGAAAATAAAATTAAAACACGCTTGGGTTAATAATTAGTAGCGCGCGCGTGCATGAAAAAGAAGCGATGGGAGGAAAGAGGATGAGGAAGGAAGCAAGGAGGAATAAACGAACGAAGGGTTTTTACTGCAGTTTTTACCTTTTAAACTGTCTACTGGGGTCGGGGAGGAGGTGGTGAAAGCATGGGGGATTGGAAGGAGATCTCCATTTTATTACAATTAAAAGTCCGAGAAGAGTTTTACTTAACTACCTGAAATTCGAAATTAATTTAAAAGCTCGCCTAGTATCGTGTCCGCCCTTTCTCCCTCTCCGCCCTCTGCCGGCGGTCCCGACATCATCGTCTGCCCTTAATTTAATAGCAGTACGCAATCAAGCTTAAAACTATATAGGGTGTAATTGGAAGATTCAATTTGTTTAAACAAAGAGTGCTTTAATTAATCGCTGCTTTGGCACTGCAGTCGCGACGCGATTGCTTATTAGCAGTACCGGTACGTCCATTCGGTTCTCATTATACGCCGCTCGCTGCATTCTCATTTTCAAAACAATAGATTATGTATAAAACCAAAGCCTTCAACCTTTTATAGAATTAATTTATTATTTACTCGCGAATAATTGAATTTATTGCTTCATAAAGACAATTTTGTTAATTACAAAGATCATTGTTATCAATGTAAAAATGGTATACAAAACATCTCTATTTCTTAGAGATTCGAAATGAAAAAGACAATGATTTGACTTTACTTGTTTTTTGTTCGAAACGATCACTTTATGTAACTGTATAGATTTTTTGCATTAAAATTGTAACAGTGAATAAATGGAGTGGATGGTTTAATCGACTATTTAATCGAAAAGAAAGTTTAATTTATCTGCATGTTGTTCTGTTTGTTTAAAATATAATGCTTTTGTACTGTGCATTTTTCTCTTTTTGTTTGCTTCTTTGAAACTTGCATAATAAATAGATAGGTATTGCGTGAAAGAAGATCCGAGCTACTTCTTGTACATTACTTTTTTTATTCCTACCATTTTTCTTCTTCGCATTCTTCTCGACTTCCACTTTGTGCATAACGTGCATTGTTCGCGATAGTCTCCTTTGTTGTTTCGAGGTAATAATTATAAATATTTATCAAGAAAATATATAAACAAAATGAATGGACTTCGTTGGAAAGGTGAAAAAAATAGAGGTTTGTATGTATTTTAGCAGGAAACTGTGGCTCGTTCGCCAGGCAACATTGGCGACGGTGGAGTATTATGTAAATGAAGTCGGTTGCGTTTCGTTTTGCTTTATGAGAAACGGAATGAAATGCGAGAGCGTAGTTTCGAAAAAACAACAAATTTATTTCATGGTAACAACAATTGAAAAGGCAAACAAATGAAAATAGTTATAGTAATAATAGTAACAAGAAGGTAACGAGAGATGTAAGTAAGAGGTGGATGAGGATGAGGTTTGTTTAGTGTTTTCCGCCGTGGCTGAAGCCGTACTCCTTTCCGCCGGAATGACCTCCCTTCTTTCCGTAATCTTCGTGATGGGCGTGGTGACTTTCGTGGCCGTGCTTGCCTTTGTGTCCCTTGTGATCCTCTTCGTAGTGTCCCTTGTCGTGATGTCCCTTTTTGCCGAAGTGATCGTCATGGTAGCCACTCTTGTGGGTACCTCCCTTCTTGTGTCCGCCCTCCTTGCTGCCGTGGTGTCCGTGGAAGTCGCCGAACTTGGAGTGATGACCGCCCTTGTGGAAGTCGTCGTAGAACTTGTGCTCCTTGTGGTAATCGTCCTTGTGCGACTTGTGGTGGAATCCGGTCGTCTTCTGGCCCTTCTTGTGGCCCTTCTTCTCACCGAACTTGCCGCCCTTGTGGCTCTTGCCTGACTCGTGGTGCTCGCCGTAGTGTTCAGCCTCGTCGTGATGACCTTTCTTGTGGCCACCCTTCTCGGCATGATGACCCTCTTCGTGCTCCTTGCCGTGCTTGCCGTGGCCTCCCTTGTCGTGATGATGGGCGCTCTTGTACCCCTTGTCTCCCTTCTCCCCGTGACTGGAATGGTGGTCGCTGTGATGCGAGTGGCCGCCGCCCTCCTCGTGGCTCTTCTTGTGGCCGGTGGCGGCCACCGCCTGATCCAAGCCCTTAGCTGCGTCCTCCTCTTCCTCGCCAATCACCCTTGCTGAGCATAGGGCCGCAGCGAGGCACAGGACACCCAAAGACACTGTAATCAATCTCATTCTGCTGCTACTGCTGGAGAGGAGAGCGAGTATTGAACTGATTAAACACAACCAGATCGATACTATTTATACTCGGCCCCGCGACTTTCTTCTTCGCCTCCTCCGCTACTCGAAACAACTACAGTTTTTGGGGTTTCCGCGAGATTAGTTCACCTCTTTTTCTTCTTTTCTTCTATTTCTGCTCCATTCGTTGTCGTCGTAGTCGTTGTCGACGAAAAAACCGCATCGCGATGCAGTACATCGATCCAATAACGTTTCTTTCGGCGATCGCGTTCCGATCCGTTTCATTTCGATATTTTTATGCAATGAGGCTTTCTCTAATTGCAAATCCGACGCTTGATTACACCTTGCCCATTTACACTACTTTTTGCCTCTTTTCGGACACCCAGATAATAATGGAACCGAACAGCAAAATCAATGGAAACAAATCAACAAAAAAAATATATACATATACGAGAGAAAAGGGCACAACTATGCCACGTGTGTGAGTATGTGTGATTAAACTCGTAATTTCGAATGCGAGTCGGTTATCGAGATGCCAATTACTGTATGATCGTTGCTGCTCTTGTCGTTTTTTTTTTTTTCGATTTTGCAATTCTGCTATGCCCGAATGCCGCGTCGGTAAATTGATGATTTATTACGTAAATGTGGGTCGGCCAACCCCTATTCCATAACACTGCAATTCATCCTAGACATGCAAAAAATACAGAGAAAAATAAAAAAGCAAGAAAATAAAAATAGAACAATAAGCTGAAGACTCGCTGAAAACCACCGACACTTTCATTAAGCTCAAGACTTATTATAGGGACAACATCTAGGATATTTATTTCCAATATTTATTATAATCTATCTTTCGCACGCCTTAAACTCTTCTCGTGTGTAAGACATTTAAGAAAATTCTAGTATAAATCCGTCCACATCACTAACATATTATTTCGCAAGGTTAGCATCATATGATATGGAATAAGTTAGTGGTTATAAAAAAAATATTCAATTACAAATTACATGTTGGATAGAAAGAAAAATACAAAAATAATTTTAAAAAATCATATCAATGAACCAAATGTAATTTCACGTTTTACATCATTTACTTAATTAGTTTAATTAGAAATATAAGGAATAAATTTAATAAATATTAAAATAATAATAATTTTAAATTCAAATTAAAAAATAAGTTTCAATAATAATAATGTTTATTGCATCAGTCGTACAAAAAAACATATACAGAAATAAATAGAACAAAATAAATATATATAATTTCAAAAAAGTCAACTGATAAAAAGGGATATAGGTCTTTCTGCTCAAATAAGTTTTATTATATATTTTTTATATGTATAATAACGTTTTTGCTTGTTAAGTTTACAAGAAATAGTATCGACGATAAATGAATAGTACATTTCCTACAAGAAAACTTAATGGATTCGGCCGATTTATGGATTCGATTATTTATTTAATAGTTATAATAACGGTGGTAAGAATAGCGGTGTTTGCTTTTCCCCGCATTTCGATGCTGGGTTTTGGGTAAATTGATGATTTATTGCGTAAATGGTCGGCGGTTGGCGGCGGCGTTGGTAGAGGAGGAGGTGGTGTAGGTGGCCGCCCCCCCAGAATCGGGAATCTATAATTCCGCCGTATCTGCTATTAATTCTCGGGGCAACATCCTCCACCGCCACCCATTTACAACAAACAACAATACAATACACAATATATTTCCTTGGGGGGATGCGCAACAAACATAAATTCCAGTTGTTGCTGTGCAACTGACGGATGGGAAAACGCAAGAAGACGCTGCGGATGTGCGACGGGTGAGGGAGGGATGGAGGGAGGTCGGTGGATGTTTGCCGTTGATGGGTCGCTGATAGTAATTTTCTTCCGCCCTTCGCTGACTAATTTATGGGCTCCCTCTGCCCATCTTCCATCCGAAGGCGAAAAATCGACTGCGCGCTAATTCTTTCCAGCTTATTTATTTCGCAACGTCCTCTTACCACCCCTCCAACCCATCCAATATTCATAGAATTTATGTAACGTCTCCGTAACTATTTGCCTGGTAATCTACCTGCTCTCCCCCGGTAAAATGATTAAACTTTAAACACATTTTAAATAATTCAAAAACTCCTCCTTAAGTGAGGATACGAAAAGAAAAGAAAACAAGTGGAGTTACGAGATACTCCTCGAGGAAACATAATCTTTGTGCAAAATAAGAGAAAAAAACACCATCGAGATGGCAACGTCCGCTTTGTTAATGGATGCTGTACTCCCCGGAGACGTTTCTCTATCCAATTTAAAAATTATAGTTTGAAATATCTTTGTGCATCATTTCAAGTAAATAAATTATTTAAAACCGTGCTATATTTGTTATTAATTTTAGAATAAATTAAACTGCTACAATTCAAATATTACAAATGGAGCTCTACGTTGTGCGCCAAATGAACGCCTTTCAAGTTTGTTTTTTCTTTGCTATCATGTATATAGATCATATTTGGTTGTATGCCAGTTTCAAGAGTGGGCTGTAATGGGATGTAATCCCAATTAATGTCCAAACTTCGTGCTCTTTCGCTCTTTTGTTAATACATAATTGGGGAAAATTAATGGTCTCGTTTCCAAGATGGACAGCACGATGCGAATCCTTCCAAAAAACAAATTGCGCTCCGCATTTCAGTTTCCATGGAAATACACTGGTAACTCCGTTAATTAAGGTGACGACCTACTATAACGCCGCCCCTCGCGAGTTGTTTCAAGCCGAAAAGTTGTAAGTAAATTGTTTAAATTTAATTCCATCCCCTCCATTAATAAATAAACGCATCATCAATAAATGACCGCAAACTCCATTATAAAGTTACTCGCAGATACCAAGTGAACTTCTTGTTTTGATTTTAAAAAAAAAATCATTCGTTAGATTAAAATTACGTCGACGGACGTGATTAATCGCACATCTAAACGCAGTTCCTATATGAGATCATGATTTATAAATTATGCGCCATACGGCGGATTCCGATGCAAGCTCACGGAATTAAATGACGTTTGGTTCGAACCGAGTTCGGTGCTAATTGCAGGGACGTCGAGGTGAAGAAACGGCACAAAGAAAGTTGGAAATTGATTGTGTTAATTGAATTTGCCCCGCACGTTCGGTTTTTACTGCTCCTCCATTACCGCCGCCGCTCATTGCGTAACTCGCCTCCGGCTGCTGCCGCGATCGTTTTCCCAATCACCTTTGGCGACACCTTACGTAATCCGATCTCCTCTGCAATCCAATTTCTTTAAGTTTATATTACTCACTTTGTCTCGGTGTATATTTATAAATCACATTTAATTGCACGGCCACCGTGACAAGTGCACCACTTATATTATTAAACTCGCGCAAATAGTAGTAGTTTTGATGTATACAAATACGCGTTACTTGTCGTATATCATGTAAAGTTTCATGGTTTGTTAAGTAGTAGCCTGCAGCGCATAAAACTGAGTTATGGATTTAAGATACATCGAAGTATATTTGTGATAGATGATATTTTTCTTTCGTTTCGTGAAGGGATGTATCTCCGGGAAAGTTTTCAGGAAAGTTTCAAGTGAGCAATGGGAATATGAGAGATAGATATATATGAGTTCCTTTCGGAAGGGTGATGCAATGTGCATAGATATCGATATTCTAATAATAGAGAGACTCAAACGTAGGTCTAAGATAACGCAGGTCCATTATACTTGGTATTATGTATACATTTGTTATCTAATAATAAATCGAATAAGTATAACATTGATGAGCGACGATGATCATCATCATTTAAGGTGGAAGTGGATTGTCGTCTTGAGTTTGGAGGAGCTATTGAATAGTAACAATGTTATGGAACAGAATCTGCGTGCAAAGCCGCAATAGCATCCGCTCGTATTAATACAATAATACGTAACAACATCTCGTAGACATAATCGTGTTAGCATATTAACACACGAGGCATAGTTAATTTAATTCCGGCTGCGTTTGCTTACCAAAGGCTGAACTAATTTACGGATGTCTCCATGCATCTTCCTTCAGCTTCCAACCAGAACTTCTCATCATTCATGCACCATCAACTGTAACGGAACATCATTTTTTAAATTTAATATTTCTATTTACTTTTATTGCATCATTGCACAATTTACGTATAAGAACATTAATAACGTTTAAAAAAAACATAACTGTTCTCTTTATAATGCGAATTATATTTATATAGAATTTTGTCAAAAAAAATCATAACTATGGTAATAGTGGTTTACGAAATAATACGCTATGAATATTCATTATTATATAAAGATATTACATTTTCAGTAACGTGTTTTTTTTTGTCATTAATTTTAAATGTGTATAATATTATATTTGTAACTTATGTGGTTTCCCCTCTAATTTCATGACAACTTTGGAATAACATTGAATATTCAAATTGAAAGCTAAAACTATTCAATTTGTATCTAATTATTTATTTGTGATATACATATTTCCTGAAATTTAATGGAAACATTAAAAACAATATATTATAAATATATAGAGATACAGGAGACCTTTCACTGAAATTCTCCACCTTTTAAGCTACTTAGTTATCATGGCAACATTCAGCTGAAAAAAAACACTTCATCCCCATAGCAACGTCCATTAGTACATATTTTTCTACTCCACAATCCCAGATTCAAGCTAGCTAATTTCATTAGCCTTACTTATATTACTCTCTTTTTGTTTTGCAACTGTACACTTGGGCTTAAAACGTGACAGTCTCGAAAATCTAAATTAAAAGCTGCCGCCGACAAAATAAAATTAAAAAAAAAAGAAAAACGTAATAATGAGAGATGGAGAGAGAGAAAAAAACACAGAAGCAGCGTATAACGGTTTTGCTTTACTATCGCATTATTAACTTTTCCATTGTTGCCACGTTAATATAAATTTGGCGGTTTATAATTTGAAAAGTTTTTTTTTCTTATTCTTCTCGTGGTCTTGGGCGGTGCGAAAAAGGGTTCCTTAAATTGTTTTTAATGTGACTGCGCGAAACACTCCCTGCGGCAGGGTGTGTGGGTGTTTTGCGTTGGAAAGTGCGGATGGTTGTGAGGCTTCAAGATATTCCCCACCTTTTTGGCGCACAGCAATAGTGACACATTTTCGCCCTGGCCAAAGTTTCCCGTGCTTCATTCCTTCCTTCGGATTTTCCTACTCGCTTCCTGCGCTCGCAAAACTTTTAAATTAAGTTTGTGTTGATGTTTGACTGACGGTGTCGACTTGTTTAACAATTAACCTTTCGCAATCCGGGTAGCGAATAACTGATGTGGAGGGAGTGGAAATCCCCCAAGGGGATAACCCTGCGCAGGGCCGTAACGCCAACGTTGTAAACTT